GCAAAATCTCTTTAAAGGTTTGATTACCGGGATTGCAGCTCTTGCACCCCAAACAAAATTTGTGTGAAGTTTTTAGTAATTCATTATTGAAATTTTCCCAGGAGAAATTTCCCAGTGGTGAAGTATATAATCTTAGAGATGATCTATGAAGGGACTCATCTGAGCTGCAGCATCCCGCCGCGATAGCAGCCTCCTACCATTGCGGGGTATCTGCTGGGAAGAGAAATGCCGGCTGGGGCCGGAGTCCTGGTCCTGACCCAGGAGACGCCCCACATGCAGGCACAAGAGCTCAGGCTGCTGTGCAGCTTCTCCCCTTAAAGTCCTGACTCCCCCTCCGTGGAAGAGGGCAGAGCGGAGATGCAGCAGTGGATTACCCCCAGCTCGTGTCAGAAAAGCTTTGCTGCCGTATTTTTCACTCCCCCAGCAGGAATCAGAGCAAACCTACCGACTGAACATTCTAGATAACTCTAAAGTGACCTTTCGGGGCTAAAGTTTGCAAACCAAAAACTTCTAATCCACTGCCTTTTCTAACTAAGCCCGGCTATCGGTTTCCAGGCCTGGGGAAATCCACTCCTGACCTTTTATCAATTAGTCAGACAAGAGCAACCTTTGCGGAGTTAGCATTTCTGGGGCTCAAGGGGGCTGTAGAGGAGAAAGGACTGGAAACCCTTTTAAGAATGGACTCCGGGGGCCTGCCCCCAGAACTCAGGCACCAACCCCAAGTCACCCGAAGCTGGAGACAGAGCCTCGCCATAATCCTCCTCGGGAGGCCGACTAACCACAGAGGCCCCTGCCAGGCCTGAGCCCAAAGCCAGGAGCACAACCAGAGCCTCCTGCTCGACCACAAACCCTGCCTGCAAGAGCTCGATTTGTGAAACAGTAACTCTGTGAAGGCAGCCGGCCCAGCCCGCCCCTCCGGTGGGAACGCACCTCCTTTGATTGGCTGCTTCCCGCCCCCCCCAGGCCTGGGCCTGAGCAGACGGATTTCCAACAGGAACGAGCTAAAGCTGTTGAAAACGACAGAATGCTAGCCCTGGAAGAGGCCTCCAACGCCCTCACTCTATGGAAGCGACAACTGACACCCCAAAGGCAGAGGCTACAATGCACCCCGCTCCCGACAACCCCCAGCCCCCCCAGCCCCCCCACCCCCATATAACCTTCACGGCAACACCTCAGGAAAAGAGGCTATGCCAAGAACTGAACAGACAGACAGGTTGGGATTTGGGAGGTTTGGAGGTTTGGGGGTGCAAAAAGAAAGTCTGAGAAAACCCCCCTGTGCCTTTAAGGATTGCACAGCTGCCAGCACGGTACTTGCTCTTATAGGGGTCCCAGAGCCGGGCGGGCGGGAGGGCCTGGGTAGTGACCAGTCAGCATGGGCCCTGGGGACCTTTGGTGGCAGCCTGAGTCTAGGTGTCCTGAAACCTCCGTGCATGGCACTTTGAGGGTCTCCCCCAAGTACCAAACCAGGTGCCAAGTCACCCAGGAGGAAAAGAGTTGGGAAGAAAGCCACATGGGTGGAGAAGCAGGGAGGAGAGAGACCGACTTTAGAAAGTCTAGAAGAGGATTCATGTAGCCCAAAAAGACCCAACTGCAACCACAGGGGCAAAGAAGTCAGGAAATGCTGCTGGAGCAGCCAGCCCAGTGGCCAGCCCACCAGCCAGTGGGTTGAACTGGGATGGAGAGGGGTGGAGGGTAAATTTAGCCAGGTAAACAGGGCCTCTGCGGGAGGAGAGGGCCTGGTAGCAGCAAAGCAGTCACCTGCTCCGCGGAGTTGGGCACCTCTCGCTGCAGGGAGGGTGCGGCAGGAACGTCCCCAAACAGCAGGCCCGCTCCCAGGTCCGCTCCCGGGGCTCCGCCAACAACGGGGTCACGCTGCTCCTCAGCACTGGGGAGAAGGTTATTTTTACTTTAAAAGGTGGCTCAGATTGGAAACTATCAGATCTTCTCATCTCTATCACAGTTTCTATTCCCAACCCCTCTGCTGGATTTTTCTGGACTCAGGCACACAGTTTGAAGATGCTCAGTAGAAACCAGCCAAGAGGGATGCCTGCGTGGCTCAGTGGTTAAGCGTCTGCCTTCAGCTCAGGTCATGATCCCAGGGTCCTGGGATAGAGCCCCACATCCAGCTCCCTGCTCAGCAGGAAGCCTGCTTCTCCCTCTCCCACTCCCCTGCTTGTGTTCCTTCTCTCGCCATCTCTCTCTCTCTGTCAAATAAATAAATAAAATCTTAAAAAAAAAAAAAAAAAGAAACCAGCCAAGGATGCCCAGATGAGGCTGGGGAACCCCCACATTCTCTCCCTGCTAGGGGATCTTTCTATCAGTGCTGTTGTGGGTCTTGAGCGACCTGAGGAGTCACAAAACCCACCAGCACCAGCACAGCTGAGGACTGCATTCAGCTATGGGGCTGGAACACAGGTGGTGTCTGAGGGAAGGAGTGTGTAGAAGACTAAGGAGATAAATGACAGTTTGAAAAGGAGCTAGGGAGAACAAAATCAGAAGAGCGAACAGGAACGCCTTTGTGGACCTGTTGGTTGTTATTTCAGAGAAGGCAAGGACTATCACCTCATATAAAAATTTCCTCCCCTGCTGGAGATGCCAGGTGGGGCAGTCCAGAAACCAGCAGAACTATCCGAGAAGTAAAAATTAGAACTAGTCCTCTGCTCTTCTTGAAGAAGAGCAAACAAAAAAATCTTTCAGCCGCCGCTAGAGTCGGGGGTGGAGGGGCAGCGGGGGGAAGCATGAAATATGCAGGTGATTTCTGCTTTTCACAGCATACGGCGCCCAGCAATTCGGCAATAGCTCTTTCACTTATGCTTTGGGGTTAGAAAAAATTTTAGGAAACAGTTTTTTCAAGTCAGTAAGACACCCTTCGAGATACTACAACTGCCAAATGGACTAAAGAGGAGACTGGTTTTCAGGCACCCTGACCAAACCCCTAACACACACACGCCCTCGCTCATATATTCATACTCAAATATATAAGGAACCAGAGCCTGGGAAAGTAGGAAATCCACAGATGGAAGAGGGCCAGACAGCTCCTCCAAGGCTGGCTTCTGCCCCCCAGCAGTCAGAACCACCCCCCACCCCCGCACCACACACATAGCCCCTTCCCCGCCTGGCCCTCAGTGTGCCACACGCCCCCGGTCTGATTTTCTTTAGGAAAGGAAAGGGAGCTGTGGCTGCCCTTAGGTATTTATCCACAAATCGTCTCTTTAGGTCCTTTTATTCTATTCAGCTCCTACCCTGGTGTCAGCTCCACCTGCACATTTTAGTGCTGAGACCTGGTGTTAAGTCTGCCTCTTCCCTTGGGCTCGTGGACTTGGCATCACCATGAAGAGCACAGCTACATCACTCCTCACAATTATGCAAAAGAGGTCTCTCAGCATTGCCTTCCCTTCCCAGGAGACACACCTCCTTCTTGCCATTTATAACCACAAATCTTCTGTGTCAAAGAGAGAACAGACACTATTTTGAAATGGAGGAAAACCACCACTCAGCCTTTCATAGGTCGGTATGTTTGCCAGGACTTGTGTGTGTGAGCCTGGACAGGCGTGTGGGCACAAGCTTGGGGCCTGGCATCCACTCATCCATGCCTGAGATTGGGAGTCCTGCCTTTGATAAGTCAAGCCCACATGTGAATCAGACAGCAGCAGGAGTGGCTGGGTCCAGGAAAGGGTCCCCAGGCTTTTCTGAGGGTGGGTCCACTGCTCCCCCTGCCCTCTGTTGCCTTAGGGGCCAGCCACAGGAGGCACCCTAAGGTTCCACCCATGTGTGTGCCTAAGTGCTGATATTGGGCCCTGCCCCACTGACCCAGAGCTTTCTGCACCCACATTGATGGCATGGTACAGATGTCCCAAAACAGCTCTGTCCAGTGGGCACGTTCCTGGGTGACTGTAGCAGTTCAGAGGACTGGTAACATGATCCTGAGCCTTTCTCCTCCAGGTACCAGGCTGACACTCTGCCCGAGGTGGTAGTAACTGAAAGCTTTTGCCAATGTGGTCAGGAGGCAAGAGCAGGGAAGGAGGGGCTGGGCAGAGTGGAGAGCAGATGCCTCCGTTCACAGCTGGGTAACCAACCCCCGGGCTGAGCCACCTCGGTTTCCCTCTTGCAAAACGGAAGCAATCAAGCTCCATGCACATTGAATCATCTGCAGGATGGAACTATCTAGGACATTTGGCTCTGACTGGAGGGCATGGCCAAATAGCCACGGAGGCTCCACGAGAAGATGGAGAAAGAGGTCACTTCTCACTTCTCCCAGGGCAGAGATGGATGAGGCAGAGGAGCGGAAAAGCAATGAAAGAAAACAGGAAGGTCGCAATTCCATTCAGGGCTTTACCTGCTCTGAGGCTTAGGCAGGAATTCGGGCACCAAACTAACCCTGCTCGTGGGAGTTAAAATAATCCAGATGTAGCCCTCGCTCCAGTCTGCTGATGCGGGGCGCAAACCTCAAGCACAGGAGTCCAGCTGGGCCGACCAAGCCCGGAAAACTGAGCGAGAAGCTCCGAGGGGCTCGCACGGGTCCCGGCCGCCCTCCCCTGGGGACGCAGAGCCGCGGACGCCGGGGCTGCAGCGGGCAGGGCGAGCAAGCCCCAGCCTACCTGCCCGCGGCCGGGAGCGCGCCCTGGGCGCCCAGCCCCGCACGCTCGCTGGAGGCAGCCGTGCGCCGAGAGCCCGCCGCCCCAGCTTTGTTCGCGGCCGGGGGCGGGGAACTGCGCTTCCCTCGGCGCTCCCTGCCCCCCACCTGACCCGCGGCCGCCCGCTCGGCCCGAGCCCCGCGCGGTCCCCCGCCGAGCGCAGGGCCCCGCTCCCCGGAGCCGCCGCGCCGCCCCTCGGCCCTCCCCGCGGCCGGCAGCCGCGCGCCGCGAAGCCGGGGCGCTCCGGGAAGTTTTGGCCGCCGAACCCGGGAAGGGGACGCCTCCCGGGCGGCGACGGCCGAGGGCCGGGGGCGGCGGCGGGGGCCCGCCGGCTCCCTTTCCCACAGCGGGCAGTCGGGCGCTTACCTGCATGTCGCGCCGCCCGGCAGGCCCGCGGGCTCCGGCTCGCCGCTCGGCTCGGCCCGGCTCTTCCAGCGCCCGGCTGCGCTGGGTCGGCCGGGCGCGGCGGCGCGCGGTCGGGGGACCCCTGCCCCGCCGGGGGCGCCCAGGGCAGACCCTGCCTACTCCTCTCAGCGAGCGGGCCGCTCGGGCCGCCGCGCTGGCCTCGTCATCCGCCGCCCGGCGCGGGGCTGGCGGCGCGGACCGGCGCGCTCCCCTCCGGGGGTCCCGCCGGCGCGTCTGCTCGGTCCCCCAGATGCGGGGGCAGCCTCCGCGGGCCCCGCGCAACGCCCCTCCTCCCGGGGCGGTCCTGAGTCTCGGAGTCCGCGCACCCTGCTGTCGCCGGCTGGGGGAGGGAGGGTGCTCCCTGCTCGGCGCCCGGGACCCCCGAGCTCAGCGGGCGGGGGCAGTCGGGGAGCGGAGCCCGCGGCCGAGCCGGAGGGAGGCCCTGGGCCCAGGGCGCCCGGCTAGGGGCGCCGCCGTCGGTCGTCGCAGGGCTGCGCGCTCTCCTCCGGAGCGCGGGACCCGAAGAAGTTTCGGCCCCAAGTTGGCTGCGGGGCGGGTGGTGGCCGCGGCTCGGAGTGCAGGGGCCGGCGCTGGGCGAGTGGATCCCCGGGGCTCCGCCGCCTCCGCCCCGCCTCCCGCGCCTCCTCCCCGCCCCCCGGCAGCCGCGCCGGCCCCCGGCTAGCTCCTTCCCACCGGCGGAGCCCGCGACACCCCTCCTCAGGGCTCCTCCCAGGCGCTGGGACCGTGACCTCCGCACCTGCCTCCCGCCGCCCGGGCGCACTCGCCCGCCCCCTCGGCCCCTCGGCAGAACGACCCCGGGCCTCGACGCGGGGGTGCCAGTGCCGCCCCCCGGAGGCCCGCCGCCCGCCCCCTTCCTCCGGCCCAGCACACCCGCCGCCTCCTTCTCCAGGAGCTCGACCTGGTCCTCCGAGAGGACCTGCGGGACTCACCCCTCCAGCAGCCCCCTCGGGACACCCAGCGCTCCTGCCAGGAAGCACGGAACTCGGGGCGCTGCAGAGCTGGAGGTTCTGAGAGCCGAGAGGGATACAGCAACAGCTCTTCCATTTACACCAGCCACTCGCACGCGTTCATCCTCCTTTGAATGCCCCCCAAAGAAGCAGAGTGATCTGTTATTTCCGCTTTACAAACCCAAGTCATCCCCTCCTAGTCCTGGACCCCCCACCCTTCTCCTACAGCACCCAGCAGAGATCTCAGGGATAAGGAAATCTGGTGGAGGAGGGGGCTCACCAAGTGAAATGTTTCCTAATGGGAAATGCATCCTCTGATCGCTGGTGCGACAGGCTGAAATACTGGCCTGCCTTTTTATGGAGAAACTGAGGCATAGAAAATTGGCACTACCCGTCCATATTTACTAAAGGGAATTAGTAGTCTGAAAAGTCCCTAGAGCCCAGTTTTTAGCCTGAGCCCAGACCGATGTTTAAATACTTTTACTGAGGTCCCCAAGTCCTGTTGGTAAGTTAGCTCACAGCACCCCTGGGTGAGCTGTCCAGGGAGTTCAAGGCTTCACAGAAGACAGAAGCTCAAGCTGCAGCTGCTGGACCCTGTTCCAGACCCCAGTAACAGGGCACCAACAGAGAGCAGCCAGCAAGGATCCAGGGTGCCTTCCAAATGCCTTTTTTTTTTTTTTACATTCTGAAACCCCTTCTCTTCCCTGAGTGAGTAGGAGGTCACCCTGCCAAAGAAATTGCCTTCGAATGCAGTACAGTGAGGAAACAAAACAAAACAATAGTAATAATCGAAGGCTTTGCCTTTTCTTAATTAGTAACCAAACAAGGTGACAGCTTCCCCCTTTTAGTGGGGGAAGGGGGCCACAGGGAGCATGAGGGAGTGAGGGACCAGGAACCCACCACATTGGCTTGGCTATAAGGAGCTATTGTCCTCTGGCTTTTACAATAAGGAAAGTAAGAGCTGTTTTAGCAAATACCTGACTAATTAGAGGGAAAGGCTTCCTTGGAATTGTGCTGCCTTGGGCCGGAGGTTCTCTATGACTTTTCTCACCTCACAGTGAATGGGGTTTATGAGACCAGGTCCAGCAACCTTAAATGAATGGCCTATAATTGCCATGGCAGGGGAGGGGGCGGGGGGCTGCCTTCACTGAGGGGAGCTAGTTCAAGGCTTTTTCTCTGGGGACAGATAGGACTGGGGGCAGAGCTGGTCTAAAGCAGCCATAAAAGCTTTGAATCCACTTTGTCAAATTACAAATAGGCTCAGTTCCTCTCCTCCTCGGAAGAAAGCATCAGTCCTGGGGTTAGGGTCTTTGTGGGAGGTCAAGGGAAAGTCTTGTCCAGGAGGCCCCTATCATTCCGGAATGCAACCTGGGGGATTTGGGGGGTCCACTTCATACAACCGTTTATTGAGCCCTCAACATACAGAGATGACTGAGACCGGTTCCCAGCTCAGGAAGTTTAAAGTCTAAAGGAGTGGGGTGGAGTTGGGGACACACTTCTCATTCGGGGCCTAGAATGAGCACAAGAAGGGGCACCTTTGCTTGGTCCCGCTGACGACCCAGGAGAAGAGCCAGTGACAGACGACAGCACCCCCAGCTGAATGCCTGCACGTAATCCTTCCCCTCCTGCCACAGTCTCTGTCCAGGATGAGTCAAAACTTGTGGCCCATGGAGGAAAGCGGCGGTGCCCCCAGGAAAGGGGCTTGTGGCCCAGTAACTGGGAAAACATTCGAATGAGGAGCAGACAGAGTCCTGGGCGAGATTCCCAAGGGAAGTGGTGAGCGCCCCATCGCTTGAGTCAGCGAGCTGCTGGGGAGTCTAGAGCCAGCCCTGGAGGCAAGCCCTGATGGGAATGCGGATGGCTCTCACCCATGTTTTGTCTGTGATTGCTGGGTGGGGTCTCTTGCCTTCTCCCCTGAATAAAACATATCCTGACTTGGCATTTGTGGTTTAAACAAAGAAAAAACAAATATTTGGGCCTATGACAACGTGTACTGATTCCTGCTCCTTTTGGTGGAGGGAGACACGGTCCCCCCTTTCTGGCCATGTCCTCACAGGCCACCAACCACCCCCCAAGGTCGGCTCACTAAACCTTGTCAGAAACAGTCAGAGGACCCAGCGTCCTCCATTTCCTTAGCTCTCTGTGGCTTTCCCATGGGGGGCAGATCCGGGGCTGACCTCTGGCCCTTGGACTGTGCCTTCTTAGGGCAATTGTCCCCTTAGCCGCCCCGGCCCCAGCAGGAAGGGCTTCAGGTAACGCTTCTGCTCCCGCCCCTGGTGGCCCCTGTTGCTGGATAGCCCTCCCAGTCCACCCCAGCCTGCTTCTCTGGCCGCTTTCAAAGCATGTATTTGGGATGCACAGAAAATGTCCTGATGAGCCTCCGAAGCCCCTAACAATCAGAGAGGCAAAGCGAGTGACCTTTTATCCTGACAGCCGCTTCGCAGCTGGTTTACCTCTGCTGTCTGGGCTTTTCAAGGCTCCTTTGGTATTGTTATCTGGATGTTTTCCTAAGAACAAGGGCTTAAAAAACTGGTAGATTCTGACCCAAATATCCGGACATCATGCATAGAATACCCCCACAGACTCACAAGACAATTTGGGATATCTGGGTTGGGGAAAATTCTAAGAGCTGAGGGCAGCGGGCTTGGTGAGAAGAAAACTCTGCTCTCGCGAGTTCGAATCTGGCTCTGCCTTTTACTTTTGGGGAAAAGCTCACACGAAGATACCAGAAGCTGAAGGCATTTATATAAAGCCAGAAGGGCCGATGAAAGTTTTGATAGTCTTAACACCTGTTCTGTGTAGATAACTTACCAGTTTACAAATGGCCTTTCCATTTTTATGAGAAGAGTCCCACTCACCACACTTGGAGACTTCTCCCCAAAAGAGAGGTGAGTGCCCTCCAGGGACAGGATCTAGCTTGGCTACTGGGCAGGTGGCTCCTAGTTGGCCCATGTGGGGAAATCTCTACTGGCCTCACACTACCTGTGTGATCTTGGGTCTTGGGTCTTGGTCTCGAAGCCTGAGAAAGATGGAAGCGTGGGTGGAAGAAAATGAATTTGACTGCACCATTGTGTTCGGAGTGCCAACGGGGACAGCCAGGGTTGACAGCCAGAACAGAGAAGTGGGAGGAGGGCTAAGGGTCAGGGTGGCTGGAGATGCGGTGGCCGCCTCGTGAAGGGAGCTGGGAAAGAGCGGCTGTGAGGGTCAAGGCGGGGAACTTGCACATAAGTGCAGATAATCCCGGCAAGTTTAGCTAAGGAGGGCGGGGGAGGGCCCTGATGGTGAGGCAAGGGGCCGTGGGTTCAAGTGATGCGGTTTTCACGATACGGGAGCCCTGGACACGCTTGAAAGCAGAGGGAAGAAAAATGGGGAGGGTGGGACACTCTGGCTGTTAGAAAGGGATGGGACAGCGCTGGAGCAAGATCTGACTCCCCGCCAGGAGGGAGGCCAGGAACTCAGCTGGGGGCGGGTAGCATTCCAGAGCGGGAGGGGGGGGGGCTTCTTCCTTCCTCTCTGGAGGCTGTTAGGATGCCAGGAAAGCCAGGAAAGGCAGTACCCAGAGCACGAGGGAGGAAGAAAGCAGGCTGCATTTGCAGCCAGGAGCCCTGCAGGGGCCCCAAGCAGGAGAGACACCTCCACCTGTGACCAGAGGCTGTCCCAAGGTCATTGGCTCTGAGGGAGCTCCCTGGGAGGCTTCCCAGGGCACTGATAGGTTGAATTGCCGGTTTATCAGAATTTCCCAGCAAAGAATGATTGTTAGAAACAGATTCCCAGGCTGCACGTCAGGCCGCCTAAGCTGTGTGGCTGCGGTCTGTAACCCTGAAGGCCCCACAGGTGGTTCTGCCCCAGAGCCGGTGTGAGGCTCAGTCACGGGGTCGCAGCGGCCCCGCACCCAGCCAGGCGCCCCGGGGGGAGAAGCGCTTGCTGAAATGTGCCGGTGTAAAGCCAGGGAAGGCTGTGGCCACCCCTGAGCCCCAGGAAATTACCAGTCCGGTTGTCTCAGGCCACACTGCAGTGGAGGTGGAAGGGAAGGGGCTGGGGTAGAGCTCCAATCCACCTGGTTTTCCAGCAGCCTGGTTCCTTCCTGCGTTGGCCTGGGCAAGGCCTAGGTGCGGTGCGCTGAGCCTGAGGGAGACTGGATTCCAGATGCCGCCATCACCACCGTGTTTGAGTTAACTTTTGCTAAATGGTACTAATAAGGATGATAAAGGAAATCCACAGGTAATCCAAACATCTCAAGGTAAGTAACAGTTTGTCTCCTGACCTATAATTATCACCAAAAGCATTTGTAAACTCCCGAATTCCACTCTATGGGCTGGGATGCTTTGCTAGGCTGTTTCTACGTGAAGTGTGTGTTTGGCTTTGAGGAACCGTGGTTGCGTCACAAGCAGCCAACAGTGACGTGGGAAAACGTGTCATTGTAATGGCTGATTGTTAACCTTCAGAATGTTACCTTGAAAGCGGCTTGGGCGGCTGGGTGGCTCAGTCTGTCAGGCGTCTGCCTTCAGCTCGGGTCATGATCTCAGGGTCCTGGGATCCAACCCCTCATCGGGCTCCCTGCTCCGCAGGGAGTCTGCTTCTCCCTCTCCCTCTGCCCCCCTCCCTCCGCTTGTGCTCTCTCTCTCTCTCAAATAAAATATCAAAAAACAAA